TCTCTTTTGCAACATTGATTGGCTATGCCCCAGGGAAGTTATGGTTGTGGCCCTTCCCTTGTGATGCTGAATATAACCTAGTTAGCTTCCTCTTTCACAGTAGCCATGAACCCTTGACTGCCATTCAGAAGCATCATGTTGCTTTTTTTTATTTGTGTATTCTACCTGTTCTCAGAGTGCCTGACTACTGTGTAACCTTCCACGGGGAGCTCAGTCATCATGTCTGCGTCGAGGACTGGTGTCACACCAACATGGCGCCTGGGTGGACTTGTGGCTCTATGTATGAGCATATGTCGCTGAATCTTAGTATCTGGTTTAGCTGGTCTGAAAAATACTCTTCTTATTCTATGGGACTTCCTGCCTCATATTGCCATTATATATACAGGCCTAAACATTTTGGGGTTGACTGGTTCTAGAAAAGGGACCCCAACCCAGGTAGCTGACCACCAGGTGAATCTGAGCAACAGAGATGTTACAGACCTTCCCCTGGGCCTTGGCAGTTATGAACTGCTACTTAAATCTGCTACCTCCTCTTGTGTTTCCCAGAAATTCTGTCACTTTTTTGATCTTGCTTGGGTGGTAGCTCATTGAGGCCTTCATCTTGGCCTCACGCGTCTTAGACAGCTTGAAGGAAAGGGATGGCTCCTGTCCATTCTCTCTAAGAATTCTGTCCTCAGCTCTGCAGTGACTCTTTCTAGAGGACAATCACTCACGCTGTCACCCATCTTGGTTGGCCACATCTCCAACCCACTCCACAGAGTTGTTCTGAGCCAAGTCAAACACCAAAATAACAAGCAAAACTCCCCATGGCATCCTAGACTGAAACATTTCTCCAGAGGCCATAGTTCTCCCATAGGGAAGAGCCTCCTGTTGGCATGTGTTGGTTTCCCTCAGAGTTGGGGCTTTGAAGGAGGTGCTTAGCTACATGCTATGTGTTGCTGCCTGGTTCTGCTCAAGAGTTCCACTTCACCAGGCTTTCTGAAACTAAAACAGAGCCTGGCTGCTTCCCACAACCCCTCCTCCTGCCTTAGAGAAGCAAGTTCCTCTCTTTCTTCAAACACATCTGGACATATTAGGGAAAGTAGCGTGTTCAGAGACAACTCCACAGCCATTTCCCTGACACGCCATCACTGCCATCCCTTTGCAGACTCTTCGGTTTCAGTTTTCCCATGCAGCCTAGCTCCCAGTGCCTGGAGCCTGGGACCGCAGGAACCTCCTTCCAAAATTCCTGTTTCCTGACAGTTCTTGGAATATGCCGAGGAAGAGGGAAGTTTAGCTAATGGAACTCAGGCCAAAAAAGTGAGACAGAAACCCAAATTTCCGATTACCCCAGAACTGACCACCTCTGTCAGGGGACAGCCTGGCCCTCCACAGATGTGGATTTTGTGTTTCTCCCCATGATATGTTCCCCGGGGAGAGCTAGGCACATAGCAGGCACTCGGGAAATCACTGTTTAAGGAGATGGAATAGATATTGAAGAGAGGCAATAAATCAATGCATGAAGACACCCCACAGATTAAAACAGACACTGTTGGAGAACTAAACTCTTCTGCCTCTGCTCAGGGTTTGGTTGGAGTCTTGGAGTCCAGTCAGAGGTGGAGATAGATCCAGTTATTAAAGGGGGAGCTCTGGGGATGTGCATACTCCTGCTATGTGCTGACCCCTGTCTATTCCCACATAAGCCTGTGCTCCTGCTCTTTCCTGGCTTTTCCTGGTTCCAGGAAGGAAGATGGCAGTCACCCAGCCTCTAGCAATGCTAACCTTCCATATTTGTTGGTTTAACTTCAAGTGCCTTTCTTTGGCTCTGTATTAGAAATCGGTCTTTCATGCTGGGTTCTGGACCACTGATCCTGGTATTAGTCCTGGAATGCCCTGGGCCAGAGTTTTTAGTTCTTTCATTCCAACTCTTCTGGTGCCAGCGCTACACATTTTAATGACACCAGCTTTACAATACATTTTTATAGCTTACTTTTGCTAAGTCCAGTGGGTTCTGACTCATAGCGAACCTGTATGTGGTTTCCGAGGAGCAGCTGGTGGGTTTGAATGTTGTGGTTAGCAGACCAGGGCTCGTCTTACAGTGCCACACCAGCCCTCCTGTAGCTGGAGAGACAAATATTATATATGCTTTAGAGTAAACTTGTTTTGTTTCTTCACATTGTTTTAATGTGATTATGTGCCATGGAATCATTCATATTAACTTTAGAGTATTTTTTATCTAATTCCAAAAAATAGTTCTTGTTGGCATTTTCATTAGAGTTGTTTTTAAGTTGTATATTGTTGTTGTTGAGTGCTGTCGAGTCGGTTCTAACTCATAGAGACTGTATAGCGTTTCTGAGGAGTGGCTGGTGGGTTTGAACCTCTGTCCTTGCGGTTCAAACTGACCTTACAGTCCAGTGCTAATGCTATTTAGGTTAGAGGTAATACGCATCCTTACAATATTGAGACTTCCTGAGGATGCTAGCTGAGGGAGCAGGCAGAAATCTGTTTGGTGCTTTTCTCCAAATGTTTTTTTCAAGACTGTGTCTCCCCTGAGGGGTGTTGTCTTCCCATTCTCACAAAGGCTCCAGCTGAGCCAGCTGGGCCTGTCCAAACCTCTTTCCTAGCTCCTAGAGTGAAGGAGACTGTGTAGAGGAGCGAGGGGCAAGTGTAATAATTCCTCATGAGTCCCTGCCTGTGACAAACACTTCGTATGCTGTGGTTCAGGAGTTGTGCTGCTAACCGAAAGGTCAGTGGTTCAAACTCACTAGCCACTCCACTGAAGAAAGATACAGGTCAGAGCCCCTATATAGGGACACTATGAGTCGGAATTGATGTGATTGCCTGGGTTGGGTTTAGTTCAGCGCTGGATCCTGGCTGTGAACCAAGATTCTCAAATGCTTAGTCCCTGACTCCTTCGGCCTTTCCCTTTACCCTCCTTATGTGACTTCATTCCTTCTGCTCATGAGATGTCAGTTTCATAGCTCTCATAGCCACATTGTAGGCAAGAAGATGGGGGGTCAGAAGGGAGGCCTGGTTCTTCTCTAATCAGGAAAACAAAAGCCAGAACTAAGTAAGTCTCATGGCCAGCCTAACTGCAGACAGGCCCAGGGAGATGATTGATTAAACTTGGGCACATGGGCAGCCTGAACAAACCAGGGTTCTGTTGCTGAGTGGGTGCCCTGAAGTGCTAGGCAAAGCAGGTACCCCAGCACCCCAACAGCACTACAAGGTGTGTGGTCCTTTCTTGCTGCAATGGGCATTTTTTCAGACTTCTTCTCATTTGTTCTTAGCATCCCTCACATAAGTGATATTGTTAATTAGATTTACAAGGTAAATGGAGAATTTTCCAGAGCTACTGACTAAGCTTATTTGATTAAATATCAGAGAACACGCTTGCACCTCAGAGTGGGGAAACCTCCAGCCACAGGTCCCTGGTGCCCTATGTTCAAAATGGGTGACCAGAACACACTGGAATTGCCCCCTTCTGTCCACCAACTACCAAAACAGCTGGAAAGCTTTCCATGATTTTCTTCATAAAAATATTTTTATTTATTCTCAAATGCATTTTTGTTTAAGGATCTACAATAGAAATTTAATAATTAAGTTGGAAGGGGCCCCGTGGGACATTAGGGACTCTGTGAGATGGTGCTAAGGACCATCTCCTTACTGACCCTCACCTCTTCCCTGTCGGGTTCTCCACATCTGAGGTGAGGTTCACACCCTCAGCAAGGAGATGGAATGGTGATGATAGTCAGCTGCTTGGTCCAAACCCCTTAGCTGGCTCACAGATGCTCAGCCTCATCCCTGGAGGTTCCCTGCAGCTTTGACAAAGCAGCTACTTACCCCAGCTGGGCCTAGCTCAAGTGTCAGACCCCAGCCCCTTCCATTACCTGACGAGTTACCCCACCTCTCAGCCCCCTTACTCGGTGAGCCCTCCTATCCCTGTGCTGACCACATATCTGTTCCCTTAAGATTGCTGCTGGGCCATATTCCTCTTTGATACCCAAGACCAAGTATAGGCCTAGGAGCTGGTCACATGAACCAAATGGGCATACCTCAGAGGAACCCAAACAGGCCAAGCCAGGCCTATCCTAACCCTGCCCCCTTCCCTGACCCTTAGCACCCTGGAGGTGAAGGGGAAAGATGGAAGCCTGTGGTCACAGCCCTGACAAGGAGAAGTGCCAGGTCAGCACAGCACACATTCCTGGATGCAGCCATGCACTGGTCTTGTGCTGACTGAAGGAGCTGCAGTCCCTGCATGCACCCAGGCTAGCAGAGTAGCCGTATACAAGCTCTGTGAGGGCACCACGCCCATCTTGTCCCTGCCTTCCCTCCTCAGTCTGCTTTGTCCTCATCTCTTTCCACTAGCACGCATTCTTCGTTTGCCTTCATCAGCTCAGACAGCTCCTCTTCTCCCACCAAGCAGACAGCCAGGTGGATGTCCAAGTGTAGGGGAACAGGTGGGGGTGTGCTGCTATTAGGGAGTGAGACAGAGCGTCTCAAGTGATGTGGTCAGGGACCTGAAGGGGCTTGCAGGCCAGTATAGCTGTCAGCCTCCCCCGTGGGTCCGCTTTCTCAGCATGTGTGCTGACCATCTCTGAACACCTGCCAATCAAGTCACATTCCTACACCTCGTAGCGCACTACAAGGGAACTCTGAAAGCCTGGAGTTTTGTTTCCACTGCTTTTATGAGGAAAATCAGGGTGGTTTTTGTTGAGGGTTCCCCCCCCCCCCTTTGCAAAATATCACATTTTTTTCTCAATTGAAGGAAAATCAATTTTCTTTTGTAATGTGTCTGACTTGTGAAGTTCCATTGCTGACCCAAACTTGGCGGCTGCTCAGAGCAATCCCTGATCTCTTTCTTCTGTGCTGAGCAGTAGCCAGTCGTTCCCTGGGCTGAATCTGAACCATTTGTTTTCATCTTTAAATGAGTAGTGAGTTGAGTTTGCTTGAAGTAATGAAACACAGAAAGGACCAAAGATGATTCATTAATGTTGGATTCTCCTTATTTTATCACCAAGAAAACTGCTGCAGATGGAAAAAGACAGGAGATCATCGTGCTGGATTCCAAAAGGAGCAACGCCATTAATATTGGTCTGACGGTCCTGCCCCCTCCGAGAACCATTAAGATTGCCATTTTGAATTTTGATGAATATGCCTTAAACAAAGAAGGAATTGAGGTAAGAGACGCTCTGTGGAGCGTTGCTTGTGTTCACTAATGTGTTGTGTATATAATGCATTATTGTGTCCAATAAGTCTTTTTCCCCAGGGTGGCTTGCCATTTTTCTGCCCTCAGCCAGACTCAGGATCATCTTAATTTATACAATGTTTTAACTTCTGGTGTGAGGAATCCCACATTGCTTGTGAAGTTCAAAGTCCCTCACTCTCTGGGTCATGTGCTGGCCTTCCTCTGACCGCATGCTCTCTTCCCCTTAATTTGAGGAAGAGTCTGATGACTTCCTCAGGAAGCTGGTACCATCTGCTTTCACACCACTTCAAGTCAACTGTGTCTAGTAAACCAGTTCCAGCAGTTATTCATTTTTCTGTATGTATGAGGGGGCTTCAAAAAGTTCATGGGAAAAACTGCATTATCCGTTCATTCCCTTTTTCCACCAACTTTTTGAAACTCGCTTGTATGCTATTTTTTAAGTGAGGCCTTCAATACATGTTCACATCTAGGTGAATGGCTTTCTCTGGTAACACTTCCTTGGGGTTTCCAGAGAAACACTGAGTCTTTAGCGTCTGTTGACCTGTTTGAAGTGGAGACAGATTGGGTGACTTGGTTGTCACCATGGAGCTGGCCAGTGACTGAGCTGGAGCCACACAGCTCATCAGTTTGCCAAGGTTCAATGCCCCCCCCGCCAGCAGTGGCCCCTCTACCAGGCCATACTCTCCTTTTTCCACACACACACTGATGCCAGTTTGTAGCAGGTTCAATCTCATAATCTAATACTGGGAATGAGAGGAGTTAGTGGTCCAGCCTACCGATTCCCACAGGACCACCAGATATTCTGGGGTGTTCTGGTAGCATAGTGATTACAAATCGGGCTGTGAGCCTTAAGGTCAGCAGTTCGAAACTACCAACAGCTCTGCGGGAGAAAGATGAGACTTTCTGCTCCCGTAAAGATTTACAGCCTCAGAAACCCCGTACAGGGTCGCTATGGCTTGGAACCGACTTGACGGCACTTAACAACAACAAAAAACCAGGCCAGAACAGGCATCTGGGAACACTGGTCCCATCCATCCTTCTGTTGACAAGGAGCCCTGGACCCCTTTAAAGCCCCTCTGTGGTTGGGGTGCATTCATACACCGTCATACTTGAAGGTGGAGAGAGCCGAGGAAGGCTGACTGCAGAGAGGGATGGTGAGGAGGTGAGGAAGGGTCCAGCTCTGAGTGTGTGGTAGGAGGGGGAGGGGGCACATACATGGTCCCAGCCAGCCAGTGCATCTTTCAGCTTTGGAAAGATGAGGGCTCAGTAGGAAGAACTGCTTTTGTAGACACCAAGGCAGCTGTGTGCATGATACACATGTGCATGCACAAACACACACTCAGGTACAAGAAAAGCAGTGCATTTCCCTCCAGACTGAAGAGTGTGTTGCCCTTGAACTCTCTGGACTGGGTTTAGGCCACCAAGCAGGTAAATGTACCCAGGTGTGGGCAATCGGGGAGTCAAGGCATGTGGCGGAGTAGGGCAGGGGGTGTAAAGAGGTAAGCAAGATGACAGCAAGAGACAGAGAGGAATAGCAAGACAGCTGCCAGAGAGCAAGAAGGGACAGGCCAAGTTGCAATATGAGCAGCCCCACTCTGGGACCCCCAGAGAAGGCAGCAGGGAGCTGCCATTGAGTGTGTGGGGCTATTGACCTGGGCAACCCAAGTGCCAAGTGTCTGTCAACTAGGAAAACAGCCTGCTGGGGCCTGGCACACATTCTGCCATCCCACTTACCCAACAGAGTCACCTAGAGGTCACCAACGCTTCAGATTCTTACAGAGAGAGCTTTCAAATACAGCTAGAGCAAGCCCGGTGAAAGGAAACAATGACTCTTTCCCCTTTTCAAAAATATTTCCCTTCAACTTGAGAACTTGAAAGTTCACCAGGAGAGATGGATCCCTCTGGGTTTGCTTTGTTCTTCCCTGAAACGGAGCTCTCCCTGGGTGGGGAGCGTTTCAATACAATGCTTTACTTACATTTTGGAATGAATCCAATGGTTATGTGTCCTTCTCTGGCTGGCGTCTTGCTGAGCACCCTTTGGATCAGGAGGGAGTAATGACAGCAATGCTAACAGTGGTGGGGACAGAGTGACAGCAGAGCACTGCACCCGACTTTCCTAGTGTTCTTACTGGGGATCAGGCAATAGGTCAGTGCTTAACATAGATTTTTATTAAAACCTTATGAAGGACTTACAATTATGTTTCCCAAGTGACAACTGAATCCCAGCATTAGTCTGTGTCCAAGGTCCTAAACCAGTGAGAGGTTGAACTGGAATATGAGCTCGATGGTCAAGAGTTCAGGCCTTTGGATCCTGGGCATGGGTGGGACATGCTGCGGCCAGGTTTGTTTACCAAAGAGAGTAAGAGGGAATCTGAATGAGGCAAGGAAGTTCACTTTGCCTCCTGTTAATATTAATGTAGGAACAGTTGCAATGAGACGATACAACCATGGAAAAAGCTAGTAAACCCTTAACAAAACCAACAAAAAAAAGAGTCACCATTGAGTTGACTCTGACTCATGGCGATTTCATGTGCCTCCAACTAGAACTGTGCTCCGCAGGGTTTTCATTTGCTGAATTTTCAGAAGAAGATCACCAGGACTTCCTTCTGGGTCACCTCTGAGTGGATTTAAACCTCCAACCTTTGAGTTAGGAGCCAAGTGCTGTAATTGTTTGTATCCCCAGGGATGCTGGTAAGCCCTTACTGAGGTTTTATGGTGTCGTGCATCCATAGTAATTTCATGTTTACTCACAACAGCACATGGAGTTATATCATGTTTATGAAAAAGTTTTCATTTGAAGCAGGGTTTCTCAACCTTAGCATTATTATTAACACTGTGGGCTGGAATACCTTTTTGTTGTGAGGGACTTTACTGAGTGTTGTAGGATGGTTAGCAGCCTCCCTGGATGCTTGTTGTTGTGGTTGTTGTTAGGTGCCATTGAGTCAGTGCCAACTCATAGCGACCCCTATCTACAACAGAATGAAACACTGCCCGATCCTGGGCTAACCTCACAATTGTTGCCATGCTTGAGCCCATTGACGCTGCCACTTTGCCAGTCCATCTCACTGGTGGGTCTTCCTCTTTTTCTCTGACCCTCCACCTTACCAAATGTCCCCTGTGGGCAAAATCACCCTGGTTGAGAACCACTGATGGATCTGAAAGCTGCCTTAGGGTGAGGGGGTGTTCCTGTCATTCCTGGCCAAGGAGACACCAGTGGAAGCCAGCCCTGTTAGGAAACAGAGATCCAGGGTACTCTGTCGTCACCTGTTGTCTCCAGCCATTGCCCTCATGGTTGTCTGAGGGATGGCAGTGGTCTAGACCCTGTGCTTCAGAGATGAGTTGTTGTTAGCTGCCATCAAGGTGGCCCCTGACTCATGATGACCCAAGGCAGAGTGGGACAAAATGCTGCCGGGTCATGGGCCATCCTGAACATCCTTAGCAAGTCACATCACTGAACCATAGGGTAGTCGTCGGTCATCAGCTGACTTTGGAAGTAGAGCCCCTTAGCCTTTCTTCTTAATCTTAATCTGGATGTTCTACAGAAACTAGTTCAATGTCATAGCAACACAAAGCCCCCACTGACAGATAGGTGGTGGCACCTGAGGTGCATTGGCCAGAAATTGAACTCAGGTGTCCAGCATGGACAGAAAGAATCTACTTGTGAATCACCACTTACTGCTCCATGAGGTCAGTTGTCATTTGTTAAGTGCCATCGAGTCAGTTCTGACTCATAGCAACCCTGTATTGGGTTTCTGAGGAGCGGTTGGTGGGTTTGAACCACCTACCTTGTAGCTCAATCTGACCTTGTGATCCAGTGTTTTATCCCACAGCACCACACCAGGACTCCTCAGGTCAGTTACCCAGAGCTTATTCTCTAGGCTCGTTGTTAAAGAGTTAAGTCAGAACTGGAAAGAGATGGCAGTTGTGTACTTGCAGATCATTGCTAATAAGATTTCCAGCTTGTGCTCAAAGGTTTTTCCAGATTGTCTGCTTCTTGGATGCGGGCACAGTGTAGCATGACCACCCTCCCCCCCCCGCCTGATGGAGCCATGTGAAGGCTCACAGTACCTAAAGTAGTGGTGGTAAGTGCCATTGAGTCGGTTCTGACTCATGGTGACTATGAATAGAGTTTCCGAAGAGCTGATGTGGGTTTATCTTATAATGCTTATTCAACAGCCCCACACCATATAAATAGGAATTAATGATTCCGAAATTTAATTAGCTGTAATTAGGATGCACTAAGTAGTATTCTCTGGCTTTGCTTAGCAACCCAGAGGTTCATATTCAGGTTTGTTATGAAAACAAAAGGAAGTAGTTAACTAACTACGTTTAGGGAATAATTTTTCATAAGAGTATTAAACTTTAGAAAACTACTATGCAGTCTCAGTATTATTAATGATACTTTCCCAAGAAAAAAATGTCAAGTTATCACAAATTGCAGGTATGGAGGGTTTTCTTTTTTAAGCTCTTAATTTTATAGAAAGCCCTTGTCTTGTCAGAGGGCAACACAACTGAATTCCATTTAATTTCATTTGGCTCCCAGGCCTGCCAGCCTCCTGGCAGCAGAGGTTCTGTTTGGCCACATGCACAAAACTACAGCCTCATTTCAGTCAGGTTGTGCTGTGCAGGCCCCAACTGAGCACCAGACAGCAGATTCACCTGGCCAGGGGAGGTAATGGTCAGCTCAAAACCACCAGAAAATCAGAATATCCCAACAGTTGGGTGGCTTAGCCACACTGGTGGTTTTGCATTTCTGGCGGGACCCCATAAACTGCAGAGCTAGTACTGGGAAGCCAGGAGAATCCTTTAGGTGATTCTCCTGCTCTGCCATGGTTGATCCAACATGGCGTGAGGCAAGTCACCCCTGCTGTAAGTTTGATGGGATACGCCATGCTCCACAAGCCTCACTGACTAGTAGTGAGCATGAGTGAAGATACTGTGGATAATAATATCAAGAACTTTCAGAAAGTAAGAAGAGTCTCGACATGAAAATAATTATGAATCATTGCAACATGAATGAGGAGTCCTGGTGTGGCGCTGTGGGCTAATGTGCTTTACTGCAAAGTCGGTTTTAACTGCAAGATTGGCAGTTCAAGCTCACCGGCCACTCCTTGGAAACCCTATATCACTAGGAGTTGGAACCGACTCAGTGGCACAAGATAACATGAATGAAGACTTATTTTCTCATGAGAATGTACAAATTTTACACAAACCACATTCTAGTGTAAGTACTTCAACTATTTGCTTTCTGGCCAAATGTACAAAGTAAAATGATTGCTTGTTTTGTCCTTATCTTCAAGTGAACGCAAACTGCAGGCAAACCCTAGAATTATTGGAGAGTTGTGTTTTCTTCTCTGAAACGCAGCTTTCAGATACACAAGGAAGTATGCTTAGAGCTGGGCTGGAAGGAACATAGTCTGAGAGGAAGCTAAACATACTGAGGTTGTTGATGTGTAGGTCTTGTTTAATGTTTTTCTTCCTGTGAAACCAAATGGTGATCAATAAAATCATCAATAAATCTGACATGGTATATAAACAGCTTAAAGTACCTCTTCATAGTCATCCTTCCCTCTTCTCATGGGGGCAAAGAGACCATTCATTTATTGGCAGTAGCTTTGGCCTGTTGCTCCACTGTTGCCAGTGATGTGTAAAAAATAAACTGGCAGATGGAAACCTCATAAGTCTTCAGCAGTCAACAAATGGTTTAAATTAGTCAGAGATGTAAAAAACAAAAGTAAGAGTGTTTGATTACTTTCTCAAAGGAACAAAGAAAAAAAAAATGCAGGAAAATGCCTTCTGAAAAAGGATAAAACATGTTAAAATATATATTGTTTTGTTTTGTATATGCAAAAACAATTTGCTTAAAATAATTTGAATTAAAATACAAATTTTAGTTGTTATTTTAAGAAGTGGGTGAGTTCAAATTAGGCACATTTTTGAAGCAGCAGTATCTGGGTTGAATTGTGTTGGTTATTGTTTTAATACCATCTGTGTGGACAGGTGGGTTCAATAGCAGGAACCTGGGGGGAGGGGGGACATGAGCCAGGTAGTGAAGATCAAGGAGCACTGTGTTCAGAATCTTCTTTGATGCTGAAATGCTACCTGTGTCAACTCAGCATTTGTGGCCAGAATGAAGAGGAAGCTCAAAGGTGAGGTCTTGTAGGACTCACCTTCCATTCCACCTGACTGTGACCACAGCACAGAATGCAGGTCTTCCGTGCAGCTTTGCGTCACCAGCTTCTGATCAACTACTTAAATTTGAACAGTTGTAGATTTCTTATAATTCTCCACATTATATGAATGTTGTTACTGTTGTTGTTAAGTGCCGTCGAGTTGGTTCCAATTCATAGCAACCCTGTGTATGGTTTCTGAGGCGTAGCTGTTATGTTTGAACCACCAACCTCGTGGTTCACAGTCCAGTGCTGATCCTACAGTGCCACACCTGGAATCCATTATACGAATAGGGCCAGGTTTATAGTCTCCTTTTCAAGCTATGTGTCTCTTTATTTCTCCTGGTTAGGATTTTTCCAGTACCGTGTTAAGTAGGGATGGTGACAGTGGATATCCTGGCCTTGTCCACAGTCTTAGAAGGAAAGCATCTCCTGTATTAAGTGTAGATGTTTTGGAAAATGTCATTTATCTACAGCTTCTGGATTATTGAGAGTTTCTATTATGAATGGAGATTGGATTTTGTCGAATTATTTTTTTCTACATCAATTGAAATGATTACATGATTTTTCTTGTTCAGACTGTTAATCTGGTATATTACATTGACTGATTTTTGTATGTTGAACCAACCTTGCATTCCCAGGAACAATCTCATTTTGTGGTGGTGATTATTTTCTCAGACTGCTGTGCAAAATAAAGCAATGGTTTATGTATCCCTAGATACATTAAGATATGGATGTTTTAAACCCAGCTGTATTAGAAATACTGGGTGGTGGTTTTCTTGTAATTGCTTTGTCTAGTTTTTATATCATGGTAGTCCTGGCCTCGTGATAATAATACAGGAGTGTTCTCTTACCTGTTTGAGTTCAGACCACAGGCTCTGCCCTGCCTTCTGTGGGCTGTGGTGCCAGTGTTAGGTTGATTTTCAAAGTGGGTAAGTAAGTCCCCTCTAGTTCAACTCTAAGGAGTCCTGGTGTGGCGCTGTGGGTTAATGCGCCAGACTGCAAAGCCATTTGAACTGCAAGGTTGGCGGTTCAAGCACACCAGCTGCTCCTCGGAAACCCTATAGAGGGTCACTATGGGTCAGAATCGACTTGATGGCACTTAACAACAACAACAGTTCAACTCTTCAAGGCCAGATTTACCCACAGGCAGCAAAAGAGTGATCCCAGGCATTGTTAAACAGCTTTATGTATTTGCCTTAGAAGTTCTTCCTCCTCCATGACCTCTCTGGTACTGTCTGCTTCCCTGGGAGCTTCCGTTTTTGGTCCTTCAGCAGAAAGCTGAGACATCCACTATCCTGCCTTGCCATGCTCTTTCTGTGATTCTGCCTCTATCTGGCACCAAGTCAAAGGAGCACAGAAAGAGAAAAAAGCAATGGGTGTTTACCCTACCTTCCTAAGACCTCAGTTCCTCCAAGTGTTGAGGAAGGTTCCTCTCCCTGAGAGATTAGGAGCCTGCCAGCCCCTGCTGCTGCTGCTTTTGTTGCCAGGAGACCCCTTTCCCACTTCTAGAGTCGTAGCTAGAGGCTTTCTTGAGTGCACTCATTCACTGTGTCTGACGTCCTGCTGTAGGCCTGGCTTGAGCCTGGCCTAGGCAATGTCGTTGTTGTTGCTAAGTGCCATGGAATCAGTTTTGACTCATAGTGACCCTGTACAAGATTTCCAAGGAGTGGCTGGTGGATTTGAACCACTGACCTTGAAGTTCAAACCAACATTACAGTTAAGTGTTTAATAGCAAAGGAAAATTGTCCAGTCCTGGAAATAGCCAGTTTGATGATACTTCTACTTCCACACTTCTTCCCCAATCCATGTGTCACCATTTGCTATTCAGTGTTTGTAACTGCAGTGTGAGTACACAGCCCAGGACTGAGAACTGTATTGGGGTGTGTTGACTCCACCTCACCCAGAGCCAGAACACCCTCTCCCCACTCTACCCAGATGTTTGACATTGTACAGCGGTAACCAAAGCCACTTAGATTCAGTTACTACACAACCATGACAAAAATTATGGTACAATGTGTGTTTCTGTACCTTGGTTGTAGTGGTTATGTGATGTTGTCATGTCCATTTTTGACTCAGAGCAACTTCTTTGACAGAGTACAACTGTCCTGTCAGGTTTTCTAAGCTACAGCCTTTATGGGAGCAGATTGTCAGAATTTGTGGAACTGCTAGGTGAGTTTGAACTGTCAGTGCTTCAGTTAGCAGTCAAGCGCTTAACCACTGTGCCCCAAGGACTCTTTGTTTTGATAATAGCCAAGGAGAAAGTAGAGAAAATAAAGAAAGATGTCTCACCATAAATGATGCTGCATATGACATGTCACATGATGGGCATTTTTACCTTCCTTTAAAATAGAGGGAGTGTGGTGACTCCATAGGGTAAGCACTGGAGTGTCAACCACAAGTTTGGTGGTTCAGGCCCACCAGCAGCTCTGTGGGAAAAAGATGAGATTAAAAGTCTCAGAGTTGTTAAGGAATGTGAACCTGTATGAATCATAATCATTCTGATGCCTTTTTGCCTCCTTCCTCCTTCCATAATTGTTATCTACCAGAATCAAATATAAATAAAAAGATCTATTCATCAGTTTAATAGATTTGCATTGTTCTTTATGGAGTCCTGGTGTGGCTCTGTAGGTTAAGCACTGGACTGTTAACCACAAGGTTAGTGTTTCAAACCCACCAGCCACTCATTGGACACCCTATACAAGGTCGCTATGACTCGACAGAATTTAACAACAGCAACAATTGCTGTTTATAAATAACATCATTTTTTCCTCAATGAGACTTGAGTTTGACAGCATTTAAAATGTTGTTGCTTCTAAGTAAAATTTGAAAAAACAGTTAAAATGGTCATTTGTCTCTTGTACAAAGGTTTACCTAAGTTCTTTGAAAAGGATTCTTTTCTGTTAGCTCTTAGATGAATCTTTGAGAAACACTAGAAATAGATTTTCTTTACATTCTTTATTTCCTTTTCCATGTTTCCAAATCTTCTTCTTTCATTTTTCTTCCATGTATAATTCCTCTTTCTAGCCTAGACTTTGTTTCATGTACAAGACCTCAGGCAAGTGCTTAAGTTCTTTATGAAACAGGAGAAGATTCGAAGAGAGAGAAAAGAGAATTTTAGAGGAAAGGAATATAAGTTTAAATGATACCTAGGGCTTTCTTTCTCTAAAGTGTGTTTTGTTTGTAGCAATATAATATCTGTATATGATTAAAACAAACAAACGCTATACAATAAGGAACTACCTGGTTGAGAAATTGCAATTTGAAAACATGGAAGGAGTGGAGTAAGGTCCACCATGAAGAGAAAATGTTATTATCCCATTTTTCCAGAAAATTCTCACCATGATTCCCACCGAAGAGGAGAAGCAGAAGATCCAGGAAGCTCAGCTGGCCAACCCTGAGGTACCCCTGGGCAGCGCAGAGCAATTCCTCCTCACCCTCTCCTCCATCAGCGAGCTGTCAGCTCGGCTCCACCTCTGGGCCTTCAAAATGGATTATGAAACCATAGAGAAGGTAAGAGAAACAGCCAGTCCTACATCCTCATGGCTGAGAAACATCTCTTTATGGGTGAAGGCAGTGAAGTATCATATTTGAGGCAGGTTTGAAGGAAGAGTTGTATATGCTTAGAGATCAGTAGTCTGCCAGTGGAGAGGTATTCTAAAGTGTTGGCCACACATACCACCAAATGACTAGTTAAAAAACTAAAAAACTCTTCTTCTCCTGACTCTATATGTTCTTTATAGGAATGTGATGGCTCTGTAGGATAAGCACAGGACTGCTAACCACAAGGTTGGCAGTTTGCGCCCACCAGCCACTCTGCCAGAGAAAGATGAGGCCTCAGAAATCTTATTCAGGATCACTGTGAGTCAGAATCAACTCAACAGTACTTAACAACAATATGCTATTTATAGAAAATTTAGAAAACAAAGAAAAGCATAACGTAGAACACATCACCTATAACCCTTCAACCTGAAGATAGTCACCTAAACTGCTGTTGACCTGTAATTAGCAGGTCATTGGTTACCATTGAGAAAGTGTTCTAGGCTTGAAGCTGAGGATGAGGCAGATTGCACAAGGTGACTGGAAGAAGGAAAGGCAGAAGACCCTGATGTTTCTGAAAACTTGGGGTGTCTTGTCTTGTTGAATGGAAAGCAGAGGAAGCAGGTGTCTTTCCTAGAAATAGAGCCAACAGAAGGAACTAGTGTTGAGGAGAGGGGGGAGATGGAACATAAACTAGATGGGAGTTTGAGAACAAGTGTCCAGAGAACACAGATTGAAAAAAACTAGATACATTAAGAAGCTGCATGGCCTCCATCTTTCTGCAAAGAAGGTAACAGGATCCTATACTGAAGGCCAGAGAGGTGGCAATGGGTCTGGAAGCTTCCGGAAGGAATTAGTGTATTTGAATCCATTGTTGAATCAAGCAGATATAAGACCTAGAACTCTAAGGTGACTGGAGTGACTTGGTCACAGATAGTTGGCAAATCTAGCTGATTTTATCTAACAAAGTGAGGTAGCATCATGGTGAAAACATATCATTAAGTCAGTCTTGATTGGCAGAGCCAGCCTGGAAGAAGCTAACCTGGAGAGAATGAAATTGAACTTTCTGGCTTTGGAATCTGGGCTCAGGGAGAATCTCAGTAAGGACTTGGGAGTCTACAGAATGACAGAGAAGGATATCTCATAGAGGCCACGAGAATATAGAACAGGCCTGGAGTCTGAGGTAGTGGGAAGGATGAAGAAGACAGTGACCTCTCAGTAAGTAACCAGGATAAGAGATAGCCAGTCACGGAGTGCCTAGAGGGGAGCTTGAGGGACCTGGGGTGGTCCCGGAACAGTGAGACCACAGTTTCTGCATGGAAGGAGAAAAGCAGAGAGGAAGAAAATGGTCTGATGCTGAAGGGAAAAGGTGAAGAAGCGTCATACAAGTCAGTCGTGGTCAGGAGAGAGATGGGTCTTACCTGGGCTTGAAAAATGCAGCCGTAATCAGAGGGAGACAGATCACTTGTCCTATTTGCTGAAGCTCATATTAGTCACAGGTGCCCCTCAGACTTTGTCTTCAATGGGGAGACACTGACATCTTTCAGCACCTGGTACATGCCTAAGAGCACATACCCATCACATGGGACTCCTTGTGCAAAAATTAAAAAGAACAAAGTAAAGCCAAAATGAACCCTCTTTATTGTTGTTTTTTGTTTTTTTAAATAACTGAAAGGAAGTGGCGGAACCACTTTTGGATCTGAAGGAAGGAATAGACCAGTTGGAGAACAATAAAACCTTGGGCTTTATCCTGTCTACCCTGTTAGCCATTGGGAACTTTCTAAATGGAACCAATGTAAGTCTTGCACATTCTTTATCCTCCTAATTCCCTGCTACCTGATTCTGCTGATGGAGGGTTGTGCTTCTGGTCCACCAAAACACAAATGATCAAACAATTATGGTATTTTCTTGCTAAAAAAAGGAAGGATTTTTTTTCCTTATCATATCAAGGCCTACTTTTTTGTACTTGCATTTTGCTGTACATAAGTAGACTTAGAAAAATAATCATGCTATTCCTTACAAACCTTGGCTATTCTCAAAATTGATGTCAGGGATAATTTCTTCTACTTAACAACAGTATATACATTCCAATAATTTAGAAAACAATTAACTTTTTTTGTAATTGGCCTAAATAACTTTGGCCAGGAATTTAAAAAAAAAAAAAAAAAAGCAGTAGGGCAAGGGAGAAGGAAGTGCAGACACCCAGTGGCCAAGACCCATAGCTTCCTGAGTTAAGGGTAGATTCCCGGGAGGTGGCTGGGTCTAAAGGGCTGGAGGCTCATATGTCCTGTGTGGCTGATCCACTAAGGTGTGGGGGATTTGTCGTCTGAGAAGCTGCACTCACAGAAAACCGAAATACTGGGTTCCTCCAACAGCAGATCTATACTTTTCCAAGAGCCTGTGTGAATCATGCTTTTCCTGTCTTTTATAATATATTTACCCAACAGGCCAAAGCGTTTGAGTTAAGCTACCTCGAGAAGGTTCCAGAAGTCAAAGACACCGTGCACAAACAATCACTTCTCCACCATGTGTGCACCATGGTGGTGGAAAACTTCCCAGACAGCTCTGATCTGTACTCGGAGATTGGGGCCATCACCCGGTCAGCAAAGGTATGTCTGTGGACACAGAGGAGCGGGCCTGCCCTTTGCCTCAGTTGCTGGAACTTTATCAGTTAGCTCTGAGGGATCCCATGCTCTGTTAGGCGAAATGTTCAATGCTGTATGCATTCCCTGCTCTAGTGAGTTTGTGAATATGATTCGGCTCATGCCATTTCTAATGAACTTTTAAGACATTTTTCCCATCTCTGATTCTCCATCAGATTCTTTCCTACTGAGGTACATAAGGCAAGCCTGCCATCCCAGTCATGACTCCCAGGTCCTGTTGAGCAGTTACTGCAGTTAACTCACCAAGCTGGATTCTCTAGAACGTGAAACTCCACAGCTTGCTTTAGGTAGTCAAAAATGTGAAGAAGTTAGAATTCATTCACTTGGAGCTGTAGGATAAGCACTGGACTCATAACCTAAAGGTTGGCAATTCAAACCTGCAAGCGTTTCCTCAGAAACCCTGTGCTTTATAGGGTTGCTATGAGTCAGAACTGACTTAACAGCAGTAAGACTTCTAGAAGGTATGGAGCCAGGAAGCAGAGGGTCTACCTGGTCCTGTACACCTCATGGATTGGCCATCCCTAAGATCTTGTGCAGAGAAAACATTGTATAGGATTATAAAGAGTCTAGTATTGACCACTCAGCTTCAGGCTCTTAAATTTAGTGCTAAGTTACTGTCTTCATGGTCTTATAGTTTACTCGTGAAGAGACCATTGAAGAGCAGAGACCCTCACTGCCTGCACTACAGGAGGTGAACAGACCCCAAATGAACCCAAACACACCAGCACTTGGAGAGAAATGGGAAATGAGGCTGGGAGGGACTAGAATAGGGCATAGGAGCCAGACCAATGGAGGAGCTCCTGGAAACAGGGCTGGGGAGTGCAGCTGACCACAGACCAGCCTTGGACACTGGGGAGCACTGGAATCTAGTATGAGGAGAGGGAGGGGCTCTGGGGAGGAGCCCTCCATCCCAATACCCTTTCCCACAGAACTGGTGTTTGGGGATCTTGTGGCTGGGAGCCTCCTTCACTCACCTCAGAAGGAATGGGCTGGCAGCTGCACAGCTTACCAGCAGGGATTCCTGAACAGTGTGACCATGGACCTGCCTTGAGGCAGAAAGAGAATGCTGGCATGGGGCTTCTTCTTAGACATAGAATCCTCTTATTTAGCCAGCTTTATCAGGACTCCGGTGTGGCGCTCTAGTATCAATACTGGACTGCAAACCACAGGGTTGGCAGTTCAAACCCACCAGCTGATCCTTGGAAATCCTATACAGCGCTATGAGTGGAAACTGACTCGACAGCATGTAACAATACCAAAATGCTTTATTTAGGATTCCTGGTGGTGCTGTGGGATAAGCCTGCTAACTGCAAGGTCAGTGGTTCAAGCTCACCAGCCGCTCCTCAGGAGAAAGATAAGGCTATCTGCTCTGGCAAAGATTTACGATCTGGGAACTCTAAGGAACAGCCCCCCTCTGCCCTGTAGGGCGGCCATGAGTTGGAATCACTCGTCAGTGGTGGGTTTCTTTGTTTTTAGTATGCTGTATTTCTCTGTACCTGGCACTGTCCTGGGGTCTTGATGAGCATTATTACTTCAGTATCCCAGCCAAGGCAGAAAGCTGCTTGGTGTGTCCCCAATTGGGGGTTCTCCAGTTGCTGCTCCAACACTCCCCAGGAGCACCTCCTCAGAAGACAGTTTTGTTGGAAAAAAATGACTATTTCAAACAAACCCTCTTCATCTTGGTCCTGTTTCCAAAACCACCCAGAACAAATTAGCTCCCTTATTTACATGTGGTTCCTTGATTTTTCCTAAGTCCTTCCCCTAGGTGGGGACTGCTTTTAATAGAAGCAGCCCTGGTACAGAATTCCTGGCAGCAGACAGCCACCCCTGTACCCTCGGTGTCAGCCTTCTCCAGAGACTTACTGATGCTTACCTATTTATTAAGTAATAACGAAATAATTTACACTTGCCTAAAGATTGGCTAAGGAGCTCTGGTAGCGTAGTGGTTATGAATCGGGCTGCGAACCTCAGGGTCAGCAGTTCGAAACTACCAGCTGTTCTGTGGCAGAAAGATAAGGCTTTCTGCTCCCATAAAGATTTACAGCCTCAGAAACCCTGTACAGGGTCGCTATGAGTCGGAACTGACTCCACGGCACATAACAACAACAACAGCAACAAGATTGGCTTGGAGTCCTGGTGTGGCATGTAGGGAAAGCACTGGGCTGTTGACTGCAAGGTCAGCGGTTCAAACCTACCAGGCACCCTTTAGAAACCCTACGTAGGGTCGTTATGAGTCGGAACCAACTTGATGGCACTTAGCAACAACAACAAAGATTGGTGTGCTGTCATTGTTGACAGCAACCATTGAGTCAGCCTTAACTCATGGCCACCCCATGCACAATGGAAGGAGATGCTGCCCGGCCCGGATCCATAAGCCAAAATCACAGACCACCTCTACCCCCTTGACTTAGGCAATGACTAATGATGACTGTTGACCCGGATGCTGTGGCAGGAAACAAGCATGCGTTATCCACCTGTGTTCTGCCTTTATGCCCAAAGTCTTTTGAAGGGTTGGGGTCCTTCTGTGTTGACAGGTACAAAATAAACTTCTAGAGAAGACCTCCAGCCCCAGGTTCATTCATTCTACCCTCTGGCATGTCAGGACCTCACCTCTGTAGTCCCAGGAGCCAGTAGCTCTGGCATCTACAAGGGTGAGACCTAAACTAAGTCCCACCAGTGTCTGGTGGAAGCAGGTTGAGGTGGGGATGCCTTGGGCTGCTCCCGGAGGAACGGGATTTCCCAAGCTCCTGCAGAGTTGACCAATTAACCCAGATTTCAAAGATTACCAGTGACAGGTGATTCCTGACTGACCACAAGACTCCAGGAAATGGAAGCAGGTGACCATGCAGGCTTCTCTTCCTTACGTTTATCTGCTTGAATTAGCTATTTGCAGCTGTGTAACGAATCACCCCCAAAATCAGTGGTCCAAGATAACAATTTGCCTTGATTGTTTCAGAGGTAGCTGTGGCTCACGGTGTCTCATGAGGTTTCAGTCAGGATGTGGGCTAAGACTGTAGTCATCTGAAGGGTTCTTACTGGGGCTGGAGGATCTATATCCAAGGTGGCTCACTCACCTGCTGGTTATTAGAGGGAGGTCTTGGTACCTTCCCACGCAGGCCTCTCCCAGAGATCCTGGGTGTCCTTGAGACATGTGGGTGGCCTCAGCCAGAAGGAGTGATTGAGCGAGCATGCCAGATAGAATCTTTATTTTCTTTATGACCTAGCCTTCACATTCCATTCCTTAGAGGAGAGTCACCCAAAGCCAGTCCACACTCAAAGGGAACACTATTCAGCTCCACATTTTGATGGGCTCTGTATCCAGGAATTTGCAGCATGTTTTTAAAGCTCCACGCTACTCATACTGTGTGTTTCCCCACCATGCCTCTTCACAGCCCCAGTCCTGCTTTGATCCACGACTGATAAGAGCTGGCTTTACCTCACCACAAAGCCCACATGTCTTTCCATATGTAGAAAGTGGCCCCTAGAGCAGTCCTCAAGAGAGGATGTCCTCTCAAAACAAGACCAGTGCCAGTTCCCTCCTGGAGTGGAAGATTTTAGGGGCAAACTGAGGCTTAAGGCATGGTAGTTTAGAATTAGACTCTAATGCCAGAGACCTGGGTTCAAATCCCAGCTCTACCACTCACTAGCTTTGTGGCCTCTCACTAGTTGCTTCGCTTTGCCAGTGTCTCCCCAATGAAGTAGGTCTACTAATTGATTCTGAGGCTGTGAAGTTACTATGGAGTCTCATTATGTATTCCTGAGGGCTTAGTATGGTGTTGGGCTGAGTCAGCCCAGGTGGGCAGCCAGCTCAGGGAGGCTTCAAAAGTTGCTCCCCTCAAACCACTTCTTAACTAACAATTCCCCACCTGGTTTCTATTGGCAGTGTCCTTGCTTTCCTCTGCCTCCATTTGAGGCTTCACAGTGGGTTTGCTGTCTTCCAGAAGCCCACCGTCTATCATGTCTGCCCTCCCACTTTGTTCCCACTGCAGTGCTGGGCAGGCACCAACCGCTTCGAGGGCACAAAGCTGTCCATACTTGTTAGAGTGAACTGAAGTTACTTTATTGAGGGTCTAGAGAGCTGCCAGGTGCCAAAGAGGACAGACTTGGAGAGTTGTAGTTTATATTTATTATATGACTCAACTATAGATATATATAGATATAGATATAACTAGTTGTGGTTATATCTATTATATGACTCAGCTCTATTCCAGTTGACTTAAAAGACTTGTAGACCTTCTAGAAATGAGTGATCAATCCTAGGGCATATGATTGGTCCTCTGCCAGCCTTATGTTTGAAGGATTCATTCCTTCTTTTCTCGGTTTGCATTTCTTTACCTGTAAAGCTAAAGACCAAATCTTTTTCTTTCTTTTTTTTTTTTTTTACAAGCTCCATCGTACTATGGCAAAGTGAAGCCTTGTCTGTCTGGCCAACTTCTCTTAGTTTCATGAACAATCATTTTCTTCACAGTCCCATGAACCCAGTACCCAAATCCCAGGACTTGACCTAAACTTGTCTTCTCAAGAAATCCAGGACACTCCACATCCAGACTGGCCTGTCCCCTCTGTTCAGCATGCCTTCCTCCTGTGTGGTCCCACAGATCCTGTTGCAGACTTGAGCTTTGTTCAGTTGGTCCTCACTGTTACCCTTCTGAGCTTTGAGGCCACTCCTGCAAGTCCTTTTAGAAACACTGGACTGCAGGCTTGGCTCTCAGGACCACAGTTAACACCTTTAAGCAACAGCGGCTCATGCTCACTTCTGCACAGCCTTTCTCCTCCTGATTTTTGTTTGCCGAGCTCTGACCCTTCTCACCTCACTGTCTCTCACTCTGTGCCCACCTCAGCCTCTCACGTGTCTCTCTGATTCTTTCTTACTCTCTTCTTGTCCTTCTCAACTTCTTTACCCACTCCGCATCTCCCTCTATGAAATGTGGCTCTCAAGTGAATTTTTTATGACTAAGTTAACTCTCCATGGCGCTGTAGGATGAACACTGGACTGCAAGGTTGGTTTGAACCACAGGGTCAGTGGTTCGAACTCACCAGCCACTTCTCACAAATGCTATAGAGGGTTGCTATGATTTGGAATTGACTTGACAGCATATAACATCAACGACAAGTTGACACTCTGAGCCATATCACTTTTAGTCTGGAAATTTCATAAAAGTATGACCTTGAGAAAGCCTCATCTCTAACCATTTCAAGCCCAAACTGGGTATGCTTCCCAGAATATACAGTGAGTTCTCTGTCTTAGCTGTTCCTTGACCATGTGGCTTGCCTTCCTGCAAGACCACACATACACACAGTGATGACACTCATCTACAAAGACATAGATGCACCCACACAAAGACAGACCACCCACAGAGACATATGCACCCACACAAAGACACATCCACCCAGAGAGACATATGCATACACAACATATGCACACACAGATAATACACATATATTACACACATGTGAACACAGAGATACATGTGTGTACACACATACTTGTGCACATACAGGCCTGGTGGGTTCTGTATGTATATCCTTAAGTGTTTGATGATCATCTGTCTATACAATGAACCTCCTTCAGGGCAGGAATTGGGTCTCATTTGGCTTTTTTTTTTTTTTTTCCTTAGTGTCAGGTATGGGAACGTTAGTTTCTCCATGTGTGTTGGTTGGCTGAATGAATGGGTGAGTGAGTAAAGTAATTTGTCACATGATATGAAAGAAACCAACATGAGAGAAACTGACTCCCCATCAGCTGGCCTAGCACATCAGAGCCGTGTATGATGGTGTTCCTCCAATCTTAAGTGAAATATCATCTTTGAAGACCAAGAGTGCTCTAGAAAATTTTATGAGACACCTACTCAGTTCATTTTATACTAGGGTTCCTTGATAATCATGTTTGAACTTGCAGTTCACAAAGACTTTCCTAAAATCTCTTTCCAAATATGGTCTCAAAAAGGTGACACCGCTGGGTTTATTTGGAGAATCGTTTTCTTGCTAAATAATTTGATGTCAGGATAATGGCAAATACACATGTGAATAATTGTGAGCCAGTAAATATTTTTGTATTCCAACTTGTAAACTTGGTTTTGATATCGTGTTTTACCGGAGGCTGTTGGTCTCCTGGTTCAGGTTGGTGTCCAGTGGTTTCGGCGTGTTTGCAATGTTCTCTCTCTGATTTTCAGGTTGACTTTGATCAACTTCAGGATAATTTATGTCAGATGGAGAGAAGATGCAAAGCTTCATGGGATCACCTCAAGGCAATTGCAAAACATGAAATGAAACCAGTGTTAAAACAACGAATGTCAGAATTCCTAAAAGACTGTGCAGAGCGAATTATCATTTTAAAAATTGTCCATAGGCGAATAATTAACAGGTAAGAGGTTCAAGGGCCCTATGGAGACTTCAGTACAAGTCTTGTCAAAAGTTTTCTGTAAAACCGAGATCTGAAGGTTAAATTTATTTAACTTTTACTGTAAACAAGCTTAGGTAACAAGTACACTTTGTTTAACAATGTCCTGGGTACTTAGTTTTTTCTAACACACAACATATAATGCCTTGAAACCTTGAAGTTGGAATATCAGGAAGAATTTGCCTAACAATCCCACTTGATCAGGGCACTTCCTACCACCTGCCACCACTTCCTTCACCTTTGCTTTGTCACAGAATATGGTCATTGGGCCTTCACCCTGGTCTCCATAGTCCTGGGCCTTGCAGATTGGTGACCAGATGTACAGGACATGCAGTCCTACAGGCTGGGGTTTGCCTGGAGCAGGTGCCACTGATGACACCCCTCTGGAATTCCATTAGTGACCCTCTCCCTACAGTCTCTCACAGGGGTGCACATGCTAAGCGGGGTGCCAGCTAAGTGACAAGGCCTTTCCCAGAGCTCTCCTAAAGCCAGCTCTCTAGTCCTGCACTGGAGCACATGTTATTTTTAAACAATGTGTGGTGACTTCATTAATCCTTCTTTCCTATTTTGAATCATTTTGTTTCTCTCTCATCCCTCCCTCCCTTTCTAGCTTTCTTCCTTCCCTTCTTCCCTTCTTTCTTTTTCCTTGAACTCATACAGAACTTTTACAAACCTGGTTCTCTCATCTGACACGCAATCCCTCCCCCAGCTGGTGCCATTTGGTAATCAATCAAGCCTGGGTCTTGATTCAGGCTGGGAAGGGGGATATTTTTAAACATTAGACAAGACAGAAATAAGAACCAGAATCTTTCCTCCAGGTTGACAGCTTTACATTAATCAGGACTTTGGGATTTAGTTGTTTAACAATAAATCCCCCGAACTGTACTGTCATCTATCCATCACAGCTGTCCTCTGTGTTGGATCGTATTGTAAAAGCTAGTTTGTCGAATTTCATACTGGAATCAAAGTTCAGTAGGCTCTTTGAAGGGGAAGGCAGGGAAGTGAGTTAGTTTGGCCCTCCATGCTACGTATCATGCTAACAGTTTCCAACTTTAAAAAACAAAGTCTAAAATAAACAAGTAGTTTCCCTTTGGAATGTCATGAAACCAGGGCATTTTTTTTGAAAGGTTTATAAAGTTAATTTATCCTAAACTAATAAAATGCTGTAATGTGTTTACTCTGATTATCTTATTCTTGTTGGTAAACTGGTCATCCATAACGATGGTAGTTTCTGTCTGACCTGAAACCTTATCCATTGGTTTTTGGCCACTCCATTGGGGATGACCAGGATGAGCCAGGAATTCACTGCAGATATGGTGAGTAGTGAAAGTGATGTGGTGAAGCGAGGTTTGGTGATGCCAATCCTGAACATCTCAACCACAGAACCCTGGCTTCCCATGGAGTTCTTAGGAGGAGTACCATATGTAGAACTAGTCAAAGCAGAGATACCTTTTGAAGCAATATTGCCTGAAAGTGCTGGAAGATGAGCCCCTTAGGTTGGAAGGCACTCAGAACACACAGGGACCCCAACAACAGACTTGAGCCTACCAGCAGTGATAAAGATAGTATAAGGCTGGGCAGTGGTGTGGTCTGTTGTGTACAACAACAGCAACTAACCACCACAGCATCCTGTTGAAATGGTGGGCTTAGAGCCCCAGTGGTGTGCTTGGCCTCTTCTTTGAAACTGATGCCTTTGCCATGACTGTTTTTTCATTGCAGATTCCACTCCTTTTTGCTCTTTATGGGCCATCCGCCCTATGCGATTCGGGAGGTGAACATAAACAAGTTCTGCAGGACCATCAGTGAATTTGCACTGGAGTATCGCACTACCAGGGAGAGGGTTTTGCAGCAGAAACAGAAACGGGCCAACCACAGAGAGAGGAATAAGACCAGAGGGAAGATGATCACTGATGTACGTCCCATAAATTCGATTTATTTATATCATGTATATATATATATCATTGGTAAACACTCAGGTCACTTGCAAGCAAAAGGGAGACTTTTTCTGGGTCTTCGCCCTCACTCATCATATATTCTTACTACACTAGACTTGGGGAGAATAAAGGCTTTTTTTTTGTTTTTTGTTTTTGATGCTCCAGAACATGTTAGCATAGTGGTTACGAGTCAGGTTGCTTGCCTCAAGGTCAGCAGTTCAAAACTACCAGCCATTCCACAGGTTTCTTTCAGAAACCCCACACAGATTCATTATGAGTCAGAACTGACTCTACAGTGTACCACCTCTACTGCCACCACTACCCCAGATCATGTGTGGGACCTGTTGAGGGCTCTTGAGCAGGATTTTGTTCTCATTGTTTGGGTTGATGCTCATGAACTGAATCCATCTCTGTGTGGATTTGAGAAGCACATGGACTCACACTAACACAGGGAATGGTCCCAGTACAGGATGAAATCAAAGGGAGTGCCATCATCCTGGGGACTTCAAATCTCAACAGTGTGTGCAAGTCAGGCAGAGTTCTGTGGGGAGGAATGAAATCAACTTAGATGTCATTCTGCCTGCTCTGTGTGCTCACTGTGTGTTCCCATTAGACAGACAGTGCATGGTTACTGCTCCTTGTTGTTGTTAAGTGCTGTCGAGTCTGTTCTGACTCATAGAAACCCTGTATAGAGTTAACAAAGAGCAGCTGGTGGGTTTGAACTGCTGACCTTGTGCTTCCTAGTCCATGTCTGATCCAACGGTGCTACTGTATTCCTGAGCAATCTGCCCTCCATACAGAGACCCAAACACATTAACTGAGCTATTGTGTTGCAAATTTAAGGCAATTCCAAGAACAACCAGGAACTAATTTCCTCACCCTCTGCTTCCACCTGTATCCCTATTTCCATAGAGTTTTCTAGAACCTTAGGGATGTGCAGACAGTTTTCTATAGAAGGGATACTTTTTCTACCTCCTTTTAGCTGTTCTGAAAGCCATTACCATTCAGCCAAGTCTTCCTTCCTTCTCCTGAATCCCTGACTCTTCTTCTCTTCTCCTCCTCCTTACCCTGAAATCTGGGTTGAATAGATCTGCTGCTTCCTGGAGAACAGCAACTGGAAAGCCAGTTGACTTGACTTGGGCAAACTGTGGTCCACGTTTCATTTCAAAGGATTATTTTTTAAAGTTTTAAAAAGAGAGCACTTACCTGGAAAGAAAATAGATACATTGAAGAGTAAAAATACAAGCCAAATATGCTTATAGTTATGAAAAGACAACAAATTTTTTTTACCAAATTCTTGAGATTTCTAAAGATCCCACTAATTTATGAAATCTGTCCTTCTCTGAAAGCATCCAGTTTTCCTAGTTACAAATGTTTCTAGGTTTTGGTAAATATCTCTAGATTTTGATTCTATATTATTTATATGCCCATTAAAATCTGGACAGAAAAGGTTTTTCTGAGTTCATTCTCCTGGTAGCACAGGTTGTTAGCAGAAATGGCAATGTTCGTGAAGAAAGATTGCCATCTGCTGGAAAATTTGGAAATTGCCACATGCAGCAAAGTACAGACTCATTTTCCCAACTTTCAATCCAATCAGGAGTCCTGATATGGCGTTATGGGATAAAACACTGGACCATAAGGTTGGTTTGAACACAACTTTGTCGATTCACACTCATCACCCACTCTTGGGAAACCCTGTACAGGATCACTATGAGTTGAAATCGACTTAACAACACTTAGCAACAACAATCCAGTGGGCACCAAGAAAGGTGTGAGAACACAAAAAGACAGGCCTTATAGCTATGCACCAAGGATTTCACAATCCAACTAGAAAACAGCATATATACAACTTTAACAATGGACAGAAAGCCAGGAGATGGATTTAAAATCATGGAGCTCCAAGCATGAGCTAAAAGAGCTTTTAGAGAAAATTGTGTCTTAAGTTATTTGTAATGCAATATACTGCCCGAAATTCAAGCCGGATTCAGAGGAGGACGTGGAACTAAGGATGTCATTGTTGACATCAGATGGATCCTGGCTGAAAGCAGAGAATACCAGGATGGTGTTTGCTTTTGTTGTTAAGGGCCGTCGAGTTGGTTCCAACTCATAGCAACACTGTATAGGGTCTCCAAGGAGTGGCTCATGAGTTTGTAATGCCCACCTTGTGGTTCAAACTGACTTGCAGTCCAGCACTTATCCTACAGCGTCACACCAGGACTCCAAATGATGTTGACTTGTGCTTCAGTGAGTATGCAAAGACTTTTGACTACGTGGATCATGACAAACTATAGATAATATTGCAAAGAATGGATATCCCAGAACAGTTAGTTATATTCATGAGAAACTTGTACATAGACCAAGAAGCAGTCATTCAAACAAAACAAAGGACCACTGAATGGTTCAAAATCAGGAAAGGTGTGTGTCAGCGTTGTATACTTTCACCATACTCATTCAATCTGTATGTTGAACAAATAATTGGTGAAGCTAGATTATATGAAGAAGAGTTTGGCGTCAGGATTGGAGGAAGACTCATTCCCAAGCTGCAGTATGCAGATGATACAATATTGCTTGCTGGAAGCGAAGAGTACTTAAGATACATCCTGATGAAGATCAATAACTACAGCATTCAATATGAATTGTACCGCAATAAAAAGAAAACAAAATTCCTCACAATTGGACCAATACACAAATATCATGATAAATGGAGAAAAGATTGAAGTTGTCAAAGACTTCGTTTTGCTTAGGTTAACAGTCCTGGAAGCAGCAGTCAAGAATCCAACCACATGTTGTATTAGGTAAATCTGTGCAAAACCTCTTTAGTGTGTTCAAGAGCAAAGACACCAGTTTAAGGACTAAGGTGTGCCTGGCCCAAGTCATGGTATTTTCAGTCACTTCATATGTATGTTAGAGTTGGGTAATAAGGAAGACCTCAGAAGAATTGATGCATTTGAACTACCATTTTGGAGAAGAAGAATATTAAAAGTACCATGGACTGCCCAAAGAACAAACAGTCTCTTTTGGAAGAAGTGTAGCCAGAATGCTTCTTAGAAACAAGGATGGCGAGACATTGTCTCTGATTCTTTGGGCATGTTATCAGGAGGGACCAGTCCTTGGAGAAGGACATCATGCTTGGCAAAGTGAAGGGTCAGCAAAAAAGAGGAAGACCCGCAACAGAATAGATTGACATGGTGGCAGCAACAAGGGGCTCAAACATAACAGCAACCTGTAATTCCTCATCCTTATAGCCAAATGGGTTCTAGACAAAGCAGTGGCATAGACAAGGCCGCACTGTTCCTTTCCTCTGGCCTTTCTGTTGCTTTCAGATGGGTGACAAACACAAGCTGATAAATCTCGTGTTCATAGAGGACAGGGAGAAGAGAGCGGGTAGACCATCCTGTGTGAGACACTCAACCTCTCTCAACTCCAACGTCCTCATCTATGAAAAGGGAAGAATTATTTTTGGAAATATAGAAAAGACATGACATGTTGTATATGAAGCACCATGAATGTGTGCTAATTGCTGAAAAAGTGTCAATCATCATTGTTAAATAAATTAATTCTAAGAGTCCTGATGTGGCACTGTGGCATAAGAACTGGACTATCAAGCACAAGGTTGGCAGTTCAAACCTACCATTCACTCCTAGGAAATCATATATATGTAGGGTCACTGTGAGTAGGAACCAACTCAACAGCATTTAACAGCAACAACAAAATAAATATAGCGGAACAAGACTATTGTCTCTTGTCACAATGCCATTTAGTTTGGGCAGCAAGGAACACAATGAGCTCTAAAGCATTTTAGCACTACAACTTCCAAAAGCTTAATTCTCCAAATAAAACCTTGTGTCTAGACGTTTTGCTGGTCTGGTATTGTAACCTGGGTGAAAACACTTAATTTGAAAGTGTGTTTCATTTAAATTGAGAGATTTGTATGCCTTTCATCTTCAATTTATTTTTTGAAAAAGAGTATTTTATTTAAAGTTACTTAAAGAAGTGTGTAAAGAGAGCTGGTAGCACATTGGTTAAGCTTTAACCTGCTAACCGCAAAGTCAGCAGCTCCAACCCACCAGCTGCTCTGAGGGAGGAAGATGAGGCTGTCTGCTCTCATAAAGATTTACACTCTTGACAGTCCTATGGGGCAGTTTTATCTGTCCTGTGGACACCTGGAGTCCTACTGTGGTATCAGTACTGGGCTGGTAACCGCTGCTCTCAGAAACCCTATACAAGGTTGAGTCAGAGCCAACTAGACAACACTTAACAACAATTTTGGGTTGCTATGAATTGGAATTGACTCAATGTCGGTGGATTTGGTTTTTGGTTTAAAGAAGTTTATCTAGTATACTAAGAACCAAAGAATCTAATTTAATAAAAGGAGTTAAGTGACAATCCTGTTTTATTATTTATTGTTATTGAATTTCCAGATTAGACCTCCTAATTTACTTAACATTATGTAGAAAGAATGTGAGTGTTCGTACATCTCTGATCCCTTGAATTTGTCATTTCCTAATTAGAGAGCTCCTGGCATCCAGCATTTTTCTGTAGTCATCAATTATTGCATGACATTATTTTCTTACATTTGTAACTGTCTTAAAAGTGTCAATTATTTTTAAAGGTTGCCCAATGAAGAAAGAATAAGCCGCTATTTCCAAGTTAGCAACCACCAGAACGTTTTTTCTTTGTTTTAATTTTTCTTGTACTTTTGAGGTGTGTATGAGAGTCCACCTCTGCTCTGATGTCTGAATAGCTTCTCTGCCTTCAACCAGGTCCTCCCATTAGATGTATATGGGAGCAGAAAATGCTTTAGTAAATATGAAAAAAAAAAAAAAAAAGTTTGCCTAGTAAGAATGCATGAGATTGAAAAAGAACGTAGTGTCATGTTTTGAGGAGAGAAGAACATGAAACCTTCTGCTCAGACAGTTCTTGTCCAATCTTGCCTGTGTGTGGTTACCTGTAGCTCCAGCTACAGTCTGGGCAGGGAGTCTGGGCAGGGAGGAACCCAGTACCTGAGGGACCACAGCAGTTGGGCAGGGCCAGACAATTGATGCTGGCTCCACTTCCTGAGTCTCTGATGACAGGAAATGGTGGAGGGTTCAGCAGACTCTGGTCATCCGTGTGGCAGGGCAAAGACATGGGGGTGAGGTCTGCAGTGGCTGGGGAACCAGGTAAGCTAATGCTCAACTTCATGAGTAGGGTTGTGGAAGAAAATAATCCCAGGGACTGGCCTGGAGTCCTATACGTCCCTCCTGCCTTTGGTCAGAACTGTCCTTGGAGCTTGGTGGGGGAATATCCAGGCTCAGAGGGTCTGGCAGCTCCCACCTCAAGACAGTGTGCCACTGAAGTGATCTCCTCTTTGCTGACTTCTGTGCCTTCCTTCTAAGAGTTCCTTCTCTTTTCTGTCCTGTTCTGTCCTGTCCTCTTGGGTAGACTGATGAAGAAGATGAAGTTGAGGTATGACTGCTTGTGACTTATAAACCTGACAAATGCCACATTTAATTTTTCCATGAGTGCTGTTGAGTCTGACCCATGCATGTGATTTTCTTGTTAGTTTTTGTGTGATCACTAACCACCTTACACACATTCTCATTGTGTTGTGTACCAGGGACTAAGGGCCTAACTGCTTTAAATCCCAGCTGTCCGGGCAGAGTCCTGAGTCTTGGACTAATTGGTTGGTAGCCCTGGCAAGAGTGGAAGATACCTATCTTGCTCCTGCTTGAAAATTCTTGTTGAGAATTTTCCCTCCAGCCTCCTGCCTGCATCTTGTGACAAATCAAATCTTATAATTTGATCTAGAATAGCCAAAGAAAGAGCCCTAAACCCAGAGAGGGCTATCCCCAGTCTCAGACTGTACCCTTCTTACCCACAGCCATCAAGGGATCTGTGGTGGGGTTGGCAGGTGTGGGTGCAGATGTGAGCATCAAGACCAAGTGCAGATGGTACAAGTCTCCGATATGCCCTGGGTATTGCTGCCTTGAGAGGCATGGCAGGAAACGAGGAAGCCAGGAATCTGGGGAACTGCTGTTTGCAAACACTAATCTCACTGACATATTTTTCTTCCAGATGTTTGGCATCGTGTTCATATGACACAGTGGTCTAGCATAGCACTTTTAAAACATCTATGCACTGACCCTTCATTACAGTTAGTGCTAAAGAGTATCAGCATGTGTTTACAATGCTTTTTAAAACAACTGAGCCCTGGTGTGGTGCTAGAGGATAAGCACCAGACTGGTAAACTCAAGGTCGGTTAGTCAAACCCACCAACCACTCTCAGAAACCCTATACAGGGTTACTATTGACTTAGAACTGACTCAGTGACACACAACAACAACAATACTAAAATAACTAATTTTTATTTTGTGCAATCAGAAGCAGCGAGTGGTGCTGAGGTCAGTTTCAGCATGAATTTCTGTATCATGCTCTGACCTGGGCTCTGATTTCAGCCCTCTTAGAACCTTTGGCAAATCTCAGAGGGCCTCCATTCCTTCTCTAAAGAGATGTGGGACGAGAAATGCCTCCCAGCTCTTATTATCATATGATTCTGTGATTCAACTCCACTTATAAAATTCCATCATCATCCATGATATTTAAGAAAATTTTAGTTGTTTCTTGGCATACAATGATATTAATAAGTCTCAATACATTTTAATTCGGTTGACCTTGCCTTCTCATGGTAGGGCTTTGGTTAGGAATACATTCAGGCTTTGAATTTTTCCCAGAGTTGTTCTCAATCACACCCAGCAGAAACCCCCAGACACCGTGTCAGTGAGCTGAGACAGACCCACTACAGTGAAAGGATGAGGTGACCATTCTTCTGGGTCCAGGGGCTTTTCTTGCTGGTAAGAGGACTGCCTGCATGAACACATGGTTTGTCCTCAGTTACCTGACAACCTTGTTGACTACCATGACTGATGTATGTGGAGAATGTACCCAAACAACAACAAAAAAGAAATTGGCAGGAGAAGTTTTCCTGAACTAAAAGTTGTATAAGCTTGAATGAACTTTTGGCAGGGATTCTACCTCACGTTGTAACTCCTACTTGGTTTTGCAGTCTGGCAAGTTCTTGGGCAGTTCTCCGGCACCTTCAAGCCAACCACAGGGTCTGAGCTATGCTGAGGATGCTGCTGAGCATGAGAACATGAAGGCTGTGCTGAAAACCTCATCTCCCACCACGGAGGATACCACCCCCGTGCTGGGGGTCAGAACACGCAGCCGCGCAAGTCGAGGTAACTCCTGGCCAGGATGGGGCTTGTCTTTTCAGGTTGTCCACCATGGAAGTCTGGTCTCCATCTGTGCTCAGTAAGGACTGCTAAGGGCTGTCAACAGCCCAGGTCTTTCAGTGCTGACATCACACATCTTCCTTTACTCATACCTTCCTGGCTCATTTTCTTAAATTTTTTTTGTGAATTGAGTAAAGGTTTATAGACAAAATCATCATTTTTACATGCAACAAATCCTACACTTTGTTTCATCTCAACGACTGCAATCCTCTTCATACAACAGCAGTTAACCCACTTCCTCCCTGTGGTTCCCATCTCCACTTGACCCACCTTCCCATCCCATCTCCCCTTTGTCCTTAGGTACGTGTTGCCCCTTTGGTTTTGAATGATTGACCATTCTATTATTCAGAGTGAGCAGATCTTACTAGTTCCATTGTTCCCTCTGTATACCTGTCTACTGCTTGACTGAAACTTAGACCGTGAGGTTAAGTTCCTTTTCAGACCTGAAGGAGTGGTCGAAGGCCATAGTCTTAGGTTCCTCCAGTCTCTTTTGGACTAGTAAGCCCAGTTTGTTTTTTTTTTTTTTTTTTTAAATAATAATAATTTTGAGTTTTGTTCTACATCTGCTATTTCTCTATCCAGGACCTTCCAATGTGATCCCTTTCAGAGTGGTTGGAAGTGGTAGCTGGGCACCATCTAGTTCAGTCTGAGAGTCATGGAGATGTTCATGTATTCTGTTAACCCATTGGGCTAATTGATTCCAAGCATCTTCAATTCTCATCACTCTTCTTTGTTCTGCACAAGGAGAGACCAATAACTGCACCTTAGATGGCTGCTCATGAGCTTTCAAGATCCCAGGCACTCTAGTTACCAAAGTGGGATGTTTGTGGACTATGTTATGCTCATTTTCAAGAGCTTCATCCCAAATCCAAACAACTCTAGAACTGTTATTAGGAACTAGTCCTGATAGATTAAAGCAGGGATCAGGATACTACGGTCCACGGGTCAGATCTGGCCCAGTGCCTGTTTTTGTAAATGAAGTTCCATTAGAACACAGTCACACTTATTTGTATATTCTCTGTGGCTGTATTTATACTACATTAGCGTTGTTGAGTGGTTGTGACAGAGGTTATCTGGACCTCAAAGCCTGAAGCATGTACCATCTGACCCTTTGCAAAAAATAGTTTGCAGCCCTTGCATTAAAGCACAACCGTCCCCCCGCTTTTTTTAAATGGATGAACATTTAATTGATTTGTATTTTTGATCCTGAAGATCGTCGAATTGAGGCTCTTCCTTTGATGGAAAGATGTCACAGGCAGGTGGAGTGACTGGAGCAAGTATTCTGAGATGCCTCCAGGCTTTATCATTAGCTTAGGTCACAAATCTAAAGTCTTCAGAACCTGAGAGGGATTAAAGTGGATGAATCCAGCAGGTACAAGAGGAAGAACAGCGCTATGTGCAGTGGTAATGGAGCAGCGATTGTACCTACTGCAGTGTCTGGCAGTGGCGGGGGACGGAAAGCAAAACCCCTTTATATTTACATGTTTTAAATACTCAGAGGCCAAGATGAAAATAAAACTTCAAGGTAATAAAGAAAGGTTAGAATTTCCAAATCTATATTACATATAATTTGGAAGAAGTTTTTACCTTAATTTAGAATTGCGATGCATTTTTTATTTAGGAATGTTGACTTGTGTTTTCCTGGTCTCACCACGCACGTATACTGGTCTCATAGTAACCTTCCAGTATCCTAACAGACTATACACACTGTCACTTGAGGCCCTCTGGGGTCAGGTCCTATGTTGTGTCCCAAACTTCTTTCCACTTAACCGCACTTGGTTGTCATCACCTGTGTATCCCAAATCTCCCATGTTGCTCAGTCCGTCTCTGAGCTTACATTGCCCCTTCTTTATTGCCTGTCCAGTTGCTAATCAATCGCCTCTAGAGACTGTTTCCTCCTCTTCCAAAAAGTCCCCAACTCACCAGACCACTTTTCCCTTTGAAGCACTACCAAAATCCTCGTTTAGGCCTGCTACAGATTACGTATTTTGTATAAAGATTATAAACTTCTGGAGAGCAGGCTTTCATCTCTTAGTGTTTGCTGAACACACACTAGACACACAGCTAAGAGAAAGCATACTCATATAATTTACTGCCTGTGGAGTGTGAAAGGGAATGTGTAAGGAATAGTTAAACTGGGCCAATAAATAAACCCAAGCATGCCAGGTAAACTAGATGGTGGGTTACCTGACACACGACATAAACTCAGTAATGAATTCCTTAGGCAGTGCCTAGCAGACATCTTCAAAAGCTCTAGTGGACATTCCGAGTCACAAGATGACAGGAGGGCAGCTCAAGTCTAGAGGACTGTGAGCTGGGGAAAGTCTCAGAAGGCCCACCAGTGACTTCTAGTTGACTTTGTTTACTGATCAGTGCTCTTGGAACTTTTCTGCTATCAACTATCTTAAATACATAAAAATAGGAATGATAATAATAATCTCTCCAACACAGAGGGGAATAATCGATATAATCTCCAGCTCTCTTCAGAAGAAGGTAGGTCAGTGCTACGCAATACATATGGTGTCTCGGAGCTTCTTGTAAACCAAAGAGCCACACACTGACAATCCGGGGCGGGGGGGGTGGGGGGATCTTGAAGGGACTACAGGTTGTGTTCTAGATTCTGGGTGGTATTTTCAAGAAGTTGTGCTTCAGACTGTAAAAAACATAGTAATAATTGAATAATTTTCTTGTTTTCTGTGAGCATAGTGTCACTTCCCTTCTGTCTTAATGTTGGGTTTGGTCTTTGACATTTAGCAGGACTTCTATGTCAATGTGCAGCTAAATGCAACTGAGCTAAGAATATGCCAAGAAAGGGCAGCATCTCTGTCTCCTCCACACCCTCCCTTACACTAACTAGGATACGGATGACAGAGTTCAAGACTAATATTTCTTAATATTTTTTCTGTTACATTCCATTGAGTCAGTTCTGACTCATAGTGACCCTGTATAGGGTTTCCAAGGAGCAGCTCTTGAGTTTGAACCACTAACCTTGAAACACCTCAATTCAATATTCTTCAACAGCACCATAATTCAAATGCATCAGTTCTTCGTCAGTCTTCCCTATTCATTTCTTACCTTTCGTATGACTAAGAGGTAATTGAGAATACCATGGCTTGGGTCAGACACTTGTTAGTCCTCAAAATGACATTTTTGGAATGTATGAAATATGAATGAAAGACAGCTGGAAGTTGTCAAAAATTTAATGAAATGCTTGAAGATAGATATCCTAAGCATAAGTGAACTGAAATTGATTGGCAGTGGCCATTTCAAATCAGACAATCATATGGTCTCTGCCAGGAATAACAAATTAAAGAGGAACAGTATCACATTCATTGTCACAAAGAACATTTGAAGATCTGTCTTGAAGTATAGTGCTGTTAGTGATAGGATAATATCCCTCCACCTACAAGGGAGACCAGTTAATACAACTATTTTACAAATTTATGCACCAACCGCTAATGGCAAAATTTTAAATATTGAAGATTTTTGCCAATTTCTGTGGTCTGAAATTGATCAAACATGTAATCAAGATGCATTGGTAATTACTGGTGATTAGAATGTAAAATCTGGAAACAAGAAGAATCAGTAGTTGGAAAATATTGCCTTGGGTGATAGAAATGACACTGGAGATTGTATAATAGAATTTTGCAAGATCAATGACTTATGCATTGGAAATACTTTTGTTTCCCAACAACATAAACAATGACTACATATATATATAGAGAGAGACCTCACCGAATGGAATACACAGGATTCAAATCGACTGTCATTAAATAGTGAGCAGTAGATACTGTCAGCTAGGAGAGTGATGGTGTCCTGGAGTGGCAATATGGGTCCATGTGTTGGACTGCAAGATCGATTTGAACCACAAGGTTGGTGGTTCAAACTCACCAGCCGCTCCTTGGAAACCCTATCCAGGGTTGCTATGAGTCAGAACTGACTCGACTGCACTTAACAGGAGCACAGCAGGAGAGTGATAAAACAAGAATAAGAAATCAGTCAGCTTTGCACTGTTGCAGAGGGTTGGGAGGTAAGTCACTTGTACCTTGTGATACGCCAAAAGGCCTAAGACATTCCATGTGTGCATCTCTGTGTGCTCTGGCAGCTTCTGCAGACTGGGTACTCAGCCAAACATGGCCAGCAGGAAAGTCAGGAAGAGCATTATTGCCTCTATTCTACCTGGGTGTATACAAGGTCAGTATGATGGAAACCTTTGTGGGAGATAGAGCCCAGTGTCTCTTGAACAGAAACAGGTAGTGCTAATTTTAAAAGAGAACATAGAAAAGACAAAGAGAAAAATGTTATTGGATTTGTACAATATGGGTTTCTTTTTGTTGACTGACGAAAGGATTATAAAAGGAGACTGCTTTGTTTCTTGGCGCATGATGGTGGCAGTCCATCACTTTTGCTATGAAAAAGAGAGTGGGGGAAAAAGAGAAAGGATAAAATACAAAAACCTTCTTTTAATGATGTCACACAACCAGGAAAGGAAAGATGACTAGACAACTAGAAGTTCAGAGAGAAGAGCCCTTTTAGATGAGAGGCGATCAGTAGACACTTGCTTCCCTGGGAGCACTTGCCAACCCTGGGCACAGGCTAGGGATTGGGTTTACTATGGAAAAGAGTAGTCAGCAGAACATATAATATCCATGTGTGCTGGTATAAGAGATTGGAATCTAGAGTGGCCAGAGATGTAGAGAGTTTTCCTAAGAGACACTGGCTCAGGGTGACCTGAGGAGGCTGGGCCAGAACAGCAGGGCAAAATCTGCAGTGTTGCAGTACTGAGGAAGCAGAGGTATACTAGAGTAAGCACCTACAACAAATACAAACTAGAGATCTCAGCCTCAAGACATTTAAAGCCAGTGGTAGATTCTTAATTAAAACTACAGTCTCTGGCCCCCACCCCGCTCAGCACTGCTCAGCACCTCACTCTATTTACCTAACAG